GTGAGGAGCAGTGAGGAGCAGTGAGGAACATTAAGGAGCAGTGAGGAGCAGTGAGGAGAGGTGAGGAGCAGTGAGGACAGTGAGGAGCAGTGAGGAGCTGCAGTTCCAGTTGGCTCCAGCAGGAGTAAACGTGTCGCTGTCCCCGCTGCGGCTCAGACAATGAAAACAAGGGATCATCTCTGAGGCTGCAGCCCGGACACGGAGCCTCTCTCTCGGACTGACTGAGGACTCAGGCCCGCGGAGCTGGAGCCAGACATGTCGCTGCCAGGATGACGGACACCCGCACCTCGCGTCTGCTCCTGTTCGTGTGGATGTGCGCGCTCTGGGACGCGCTCGCCGCCAAATCTCTCCCAGATCCGGGAGGCTTCGGTGAGTGAGACCGGGGGCTGCAGCACAATGAGCGGAGGGAGTGGTTCCTCCTGCTCAGCCTCCATGTTTCTGTTTCTCCTCTCCGGCTCTGGATGGAGGAGGCTTCTCCTGCTGCACACGATCATATTCATCATCGTGTTGATCGATGCTTCAGATAAAGATTCATTAATATGCTGATGTCACACAGGCCTCAGTGTGTGTGTGTGTGTGTGTGTGTGTGTGTGTGTGTGTGTGTGTGCAGATGTGGTGCAGATGTGTGTCTGCAGATTGAATCAGGCCTCTAACCTGCGGAGGACGCTCTCATGTGGAGGCCTCATGATGGAGACTCTCCATCATGAGGCCTCCACATGAGCGTCATGTATGTAACAGGGATGATCATGCGTGTGTATGTTGTTGTTCTGTCTGAGGCTCCTTATGTAATTACTGTGTATTATTCATGCTTCAAGCTTTTCTGAGCTGCAGACGGTGGTCAGGTACATGTACTCGAGTACTATTCAGAGGTACTTGTACTTGTAATTATCGATTCATGTCACCGACAGCTCGGAAATGAAAAATTGTTGGACTGAAGTGATAACACACAAATATATTAAGTTATTTTAACACAATTGCTTGAAGTCAGATTGTGTTTCCACCATCAGTGAGTTCATTCGTACAGCTGAATTATTTCCCATCCAGTAAAATACTGTTTAATGAGCTAAAGCTGCGATCGTCTGTCAGAGTGAACCAAACGTGACCAAACATTCACGAGCGGACGTGTTGACGAGGTTTCTAACACGTGACGGACGTGAAACTGGAAGAAAACAAATATCTCAGAGTCCATGTAGAAGACAAAGACGTCAACTTGGAAAGACGAGGAGATTCCAGAGCTTCAGGTGATAAGAGCCGACGCCGTCTTTGTCTCCTACAGTTACATTATACATAATTATTATTAGGAGCAAACATCTAATGTTGCTTTAATATGGATTTAATAAGTTTTCACCAAGCTGCACAATATAACAGACTCATAGGATTTTGCATTAAAATAGTTTTTCTATGAAGGTAAATTGAGTTTTTGGGGTTTTGAACCTCACACGACATCGTTTTTAGGTCGGATTAACTTTTTTCTACCAGATAAATGACGTAATAATGAAAATTAAGTCAATTAGTTGCAGCCACATTGAGTCATTCTGGAAAATGTGTTTACAGAAGAGTGAAGAATCATCTTCTCCTCGTGGCGTAGATGATGAATTGCAGTTCCCAGGTTTTCTCTCTGCGTTGTCGAGGGCTGCTGCTCCACTGAATCTCTGCTCAAGGATTCTGAGGGAGTGAGAATTTCCCAGACTCTCGACGTGACACTGTGACTTTCAGTGTTTGTGTCAATGGAGCCGATTCAAGCTGCAGCGTTTTAAAGTGACGAGGCCAGATTGAGGAAATCCTCCACACACACAAGGGAGCCTTTATTGAACCATTTATGGTAATGGATCCCAGCATCGCCACAGAAACAATATATGTGGACACACACACACACACGCTGCCTATTATCTGATGCAGCCATTGGTGCTGTCACTGTGACGTTCTGTGGGGTTTGTCGTCTGAGGCCCGGAGGGTTGAGAGGACGAGCTGCAGGACTGAGCCCAGTGAGGAAGCTTTGGGAGAGTCTGCGTGTATCCATGGAAACATCCCCCAGCGTGACCCACATCCAACGCCGCCCGAGAGGCGAGAAACAAAATGTTCCGGGGTTGAAAACATGGGAAGATAAAAGGCAGGGAGAGCCACGAGATGGTTGTGTGTCTGTGTGAGGAGTGTGTGTCTGTGTGTGTCTGTGTGAGGAGTGTGTGTCTGTGTGATGGTTGTGTGTCTGTGTCTGCAGAGGTTCGGGGACGTGAGTGCGTGTGGTGAAAGTGAAGTTCATCGGTGTCCTGTAGTTTATCGGCAGCAGCGGTCGTGACGCAGCTGATGGAGGCAGCTCCCAAACCAGTTAGCACATAAAGCTCCAGAATTCACACGAGTCAGAACCAACACATGTTCAGATTCTGTGTGACTCACGCTACACGATGATGTCAGCATCTGGGTCCACATCAATCAATCCACTTTGACTTCACGAGAGGAAGAACGAGGATTGTGAGAATGATCACATGTTCACGTTTGATTCAAGTAAACCAGCGATCGTTGTGTGTGAATCCACCGTGAACAAGAACCGTCGACAACTAATCCTGCAAACGTTTCTCTTCATTTGTCAAAATGCAAATAAATAAATAACAAGTTGTTTGTCTCTCCTTACTTTTGGGAATATTGAGACTGACCGACCTCTCGTGTTTTCAGAGGTGCAAATAAAAGTCCAGGTGTTCGACAGCAGTGACTTGTCGCCGCTGGCGGACGCTCAGGTGCACGTCCACGGGAATCAGACGATCTTGGCGTCAAGCAGAGCCGGCAGCGATGGCGTCCTGAGGGTCAGCTTCCTGTACCGCGCTGGAACATGGGTCATCATCACAGCCTCCAAACAAGACTACGTCACCAACTCCGTGCCCTGGCACTCCAGCCGCATCCCCTGTAAGTCTCAGAGGACGCTCATGTCTCCTGCTGATGATTCTGACGCTCTGGAAAATCTGTTTCAATTCAGTTACAGCCGGTAACTGTTTCCCGGCTCATCACAGGAAATCTGCTGCTCGTTTAATGTCTTAGAAAGCAAGAAAATAAAACGTCTATAAATGATGAAAGATTCTTTAAATGAACTTTAGTCCTCAACCTGTAGGAATCAAGAGATTAAAGTCAATGTGAGACATTAAATTGTGATATAATGTTTAACTGAAAGATTAATTAACTAACAAGTCACATTCATGAACTTATTTAGCTGCAGCCTCAAGTTAATTATGTGGAATTTAAACAGAATTGTCAGTTCATCAAAATGTATATTTACGATTCACAGATAAAAGCTAAGGAGAAAAAAAAATAAATTCAGAAAAATTAGAATGTAAAGAAAGATGAGCACAGACACTGTCTTTGCTTTATATGGTTTAGAATGTGACATATATTTATATGTATAAACTCAGTTTGGACAAAGTGTGGAGTATTTGCCTTTTTAGGGCTGAGACATTCGGCTGTGACGTCCTGAAAAGTGATAATAATAAATAATTCTGAACATTTTAATCTCCTTCATGTTTTGACCAATAATAAAACAAGTATCACATTAAATGAAAAGTGTTAAATTAAACCAGCCGCTGATCTTAAGGTGTTTTCCTTCTTGTTCATGTCTGCACAGTGTACGCGTCAGTCAGCCTGTACCTCCTCGTCCAGAGACCGGGGACTCTCATTCTGTACGATGACGTCCTGCAGGTTCTGTCTGGGTCACCAGGTAATTACAACATTACGTTTCTTCATCCTGTCTCTTCAGGCGTCCAGAGATTTCACTTAACATTGAGCCGACCCCGAGTTATTAACTGTAACTGAACTTTACTAAACTTCGTCACAGTGTCTGTGAGACGCTAAAAGTACCAGGATGTTTACTGGAGCCGGAGCGATGATGGATTACTGGTGCCAATATGAATATTAGGAAGTAAAAGATTTATATAAATATATCAGCTG